GCAACGATTAACCATTGCTAATGAAAAACGATTCTCAGCGGAGTTTGAATAATAGTGTTGCTTTGTCAACAATGTAATATAATATATTATACTATACATGTCACATTATATCACCTAACCAATACATTCTTCACTACACTCAGAATATAAAAAAGAAGAAAAGCATTAGAAGATTATTAGGAGGATATTTAAGAGGATACCTGCGATTTTTAAGTCCAGGAAATACATCTACAGCTTTTTTAAAATTGATATTATTTACTTCTTATTATTTAACATTTAACACTATAAGATCATTTAGCCTTAATCATTATTATTACGATGCAATGTAAATATATCATAGGCTTCTTGTCCTTGTTCTGCCATTTTTGCATTTATTCTCCCATTCAAACCTATATTCATCCCACTTATATTTCTGCCACCGTCTGTAGTAACAGTCGATAGTTTTTCCAATCATAATTAAACTTTTTAAATGTGTTATTTATTTCAAAAAATAAGTCTTCTCCCGTAGTAGTTCATATCGAATTTCATACTTCAGACAATTCTTCAGAAGCATTGCAATTTAAATAAATGTTAATAACTGAGTAGTATCAAAAATATCAAACTTTTACCAGCTGCAATAAAAAACCGATTGAATGTAGACAAATTTTCTTTATGTCTTTAAGTGTTCAGAAGTACAATAAAAATTATTATGATTTTACAAAACAAGTCATAATAATTTTATACTGCGGAAATATTATAAATTGCATTAAAGGCCCCCCCAAAGAAACTTGGTTTTTATCCCCAGTTTGTAGATTTCGGGTATTTTTGATAGGGTTGTATTAGTGGATAAGTAGAAAACTAAATCGGTAATTCAAAATCAAAATACTTCGTGCCGCTACTGATTTCAGCAAATACTAAACTAACACGTACTCCTAATTCGTTTTAATTGTGTTGAAATTTAAAATTAATTTGTTGATTAATTGTTTATTTTAATATTTTAATATTATATACTTATTGATTGCTATAATTTTGTTTACAGATAAAGCTGTTATTTTTTTCATAATTAACTGCTACAGTTTATTTTCATTTTCGTTTAAAAAAAAATATGTAAATCTGTGCATCGTTGAATATCTATGACGTTCATCGCATATTTTTCAATTTTTTTACATTGTAATGATAAAATACTTCAGGTGGTTTAAATTTATTTTAAATGATGTTTAAGCACGTAAATATAAAAAACTAACTGTACTAACAACAAACATGTTGAATACCGACAATCAGAAACGAATTTGTCGTAATCTACCTGAAAAAAAAAGATATTTTGCCTTATGTAATACTATGGTCATATTGGAATATATTTTGATTAGAAACTTGGAATCAGTGAATAAAATAATAGCTTGTATTCGTAAAAATACCCTATCCACGAATCAAAAGTCTACAATTAATGATTTATGTATTTATTAAGCTTTGAGATTTAATATTATAATTTTGAATACCATCATGAGAAATAATTGTTTTACATTGTTACAAATAAGTCGCGTACCGTATATAAAAAAAATATATGAATTAATCTTGCGCACGTAATATGGAATTGTAAAAATAGTTACCATATTTTTTTAAAAAACATTTTTTTCGAAATATCAACAAAAGAATTACCATTTATAAAAAACAAAAAAGTATGGAAACGTTCCGACTGCACGTGTTCGCAAAAAATTATATAAAACTTTTTATGTGTGTCGTGTTTACACCGTGAACATTTTCAGATGGTTTTTGTTTTGTTTTATTTTTGTACTCATATTATACAATAGCCCTCTATAAGTTATAGCAATATAATACACAATACATCGCTATCCGTTTTATGAATAAAACAATAACACACGACCCAGATAGATGCGATGTTATCCAATAATAATATGTATGGTCTAATTATCGATAAACGAACATTATTTTATCCTCAGTATATGTTAAATTTGTATCCATGCGAGCGCATGTTGGTTAGGTTATATTCGTTAAACCGATAGGCCGATTGGATAGGTACCCTTTGTGTCGAAAATGTCGAAATATTTTTTGCAATAATATTGTACATTAGGTAATGAAGGAAATTTTCGTTCTGTGACATACTTATGCGTTACCTACTGATGATGATACTGCGCTGCAATGACAACGGTAACTACTATTACTACTCTTCCTACTACTACTACTACTACTACTACTACTACTACTACTACTATTATTCCTACTTCTACTACTACTACTATTACTACTACTACTATTATTACTATTACTGCTTTTACTGTCTACTGATACTTACTATAACAGTAATGACACATTTCATTCATAAATTACCTCTTTGTTAATATTTTTTGTATAATACTATGAACTAGTAGATATACATATTCAAATGTGACAAAAATGTGTTTATGGGTGTAGTTAAAAGGACTAAAACGAGGAAAATATGATTTTTAATCTATGATTACTGTTACTATTAATTACTATTATTAATACCATTAATGAAATAATAATTTTCACCTTTTTTTAATCCAAAATATTATATTTTGATTACCTGTTATGTTAAAAACACACGTCGCCTATTACCGTCGCGTCCCGCGAGATCAAATATATTAAACATTTCCCTAATAATAAATAATATACTAATTATTACCCGTAGGCTATTATATATAAGTAAAATGAAACGGATATTAATTCAAATTTAGGACCAATTTAATAGAAAATTATATGATACATCAAGGATTATAATATTTCCTATTTCCATTAAATAATGTACTCGAACGTATTATAAAAACGTAATAAATTATTATGGTAAATTATTGGGCGTTTTCTTTAGGTATCGCTTTTGTTAATTTAATAAATTCCTAATAAGTTAATAATATAATATTATAATCAACAGCATTCGTAAACCTTTTGTACAATAATATAGATACAAAATATACCGGATACAAATCACATTATCTTTTAAATCGGTTCGATACATTTTTGTAATTCAAGTAAGTAAAATAAAATTGAGTCATAAACGAAAATTAAAACTTACCAATACTAAAAACTCAAAACCCATTCGTAATATTTAGTAGTCTAAATAATTTTTTTTTCATATTACGGTAAGCAAAAATTCAAATATTTTAGAACTATTACTGCGAACTTTTTTTTTCTATCTGTAAATAAATTGTTTACCATATGATATGTTGTTCCAATCAAGAAAACGACAAAAAAGCTTTTTTGTAGAATTTTGAATCTAATTAGTGGATTGAAGAGGTTAATTTTTTGATTCTCCATCTAGTTTTTTTAATAATTGGGAAAAAAGAAGAAAAACCGGGAAAGTTTACGGCATCAATTCTATAGACTCTATAATAATTATAAGTTCCTTCCCCTACTTGTTTATCATTGTAAAAATACAGAAAATTTTGTGCAGAAATCGCAATATATTTTAAAGGATATAATTACGTACAGTAAAGAAAATATAATTTGTAATCCTACAGGTGAGATAACGTTATTATTATTATGATATTTACCGTATTGTTCGCTTTATTTAAACGGTTTATCTGTTCACTATAATATTATACTAGACTTTAACTTCGATTAGTTCGATTTAAAGTCTCAAAGTATTGTGAAATGTAATTACCTATGGAATAACAATACGCAGATATTCAAGACGTTTAAAATAATTATTATAATGATTATTCCATCGGTATTAAAAAGTTTTACAAATCAATGTTATCCAATATTGGATAATATAAATATAGTTGCAATTTATATGTCATTAGGTAACTCGACGTATTTGTACATGAGTCGAATTTCATCGACGTCACACGAGGCAGCACGTGGTGCTGCAGTACAATCGAATGCATTGTGTTCTTCTTAAAGATTCTAGGTATACCTAGTGAATGCTATAACAAAAATAACGACCTTGGCACACGTATAGATATATTATTACGCTTACCTGCCGATAGATAACTCGTTAAATTACGAATTTGTGTGCAATACACTTTTTTTGTATTTGTTCACTCAACAAAAGATCCGGAAAATAGTAAAATATAACACAACAATATTATACAAGGCTGGACACTATAAAATACGAACGATAAAAGCAGATTTTTAAAGTAGGCGAATATTTTATGTTAATATATTAAAATAGTCAGATAGTACAGAATTTAAAAGTTCCAAACGATAAAAATTATAATATTTCTTCTGTAAAAACAAAAAAATTAAATTTATATTGAGTAAATTAAAAATATTAATTTTCCATTAAAAAAAAAAATAATTTATATTCAATATTAGTTTTTGGTTAAGGAGATATTTTTTAACATTTGCTTAACATTAAATTTATTAATATTATATTTATATTCATTAATATTATTTATATTGATGTTAAATATAAATATTTTACATGAAATTTTGGGATAATGAATTTTGAAAATTGGATTTGAATATTTAATTTTCAATACTAAATAAATAAAAAGAAACATAACATCTAAAATATTATTTTTTAAATGATAACTAATAAATTGTATAATATAATTAAAAACAAAATATTGATTTATAAATCTATACTAAATATTTATCAACCTTTATCATTGTAAATTGTTGCTTGGGATAATGAGAAAAAATTTGAACGATTTACTCCAAAAAACAAAAAAAAAACAAAACAAAAATTACGCCGTTAAGTTGCACTTATGCAATTTGATTGTATGGACGGTTTTAAGCTACTCAATCAAAATCGAAAAATCGTTTTATACATACATTAGATACCGTTATAATGACACTAGTTGTAGTGATATGTCGGTTGTAATAACCTCAAATTGAAGGTCCCGGCAAAACTTCTACATTGTGTGCACTAATTTATGTATCGATTATTATGGCGTCTATATAATGACTATACATATATGTTATGGCAGTTATTTTTGGTTAAATTAGAAAAAACTGTTATCTATAATGACTGACTTAAACTTTTTACGAAGGTATTAGTACAACCGATAATACTAAATGAATTGTTGTTTCGTAATTTTATCGTCAGTGTGCTGACGTTCGTGTACTCGATCGTAATCGTCGTGCGATTAACTGTGTTTAGTGTATATTGGTGCATTGAATTGTGTGAAATAAGCAAACGAAAGCAATTCACAATTGAAGAAAAATAAAAATAATATTTTTCGTTTAAAAAAGGTGACAAAAACGCTGACATACCTAATGAATTCAGGCCACTCTACAGTTTCTAACATATGGAAAGTTCGAGACAAAATAGAAGAAGAATTTCAAAACAAAAAATGATCAGTTAAAAAACATCGAAATTGTACGCATGTGGATTTAGACACTGTTTTATTATGATGGTTTGAAAATCAAAGAAATGTATGCATTCAAATTAATGGATCGATTCTTCAACAGAAAGCCAATGAATTAGCTAAAGCTCTTGGTAAGTATAATTTTAAGTGTCCAACTGGTTGGATTTAAAGATGTAAAATTAGGCACAATATTGTATTTTTTAAAATAAGTGGAAAATTAAATTTGTCCAACACTGAAATTACACAAAATTGGTTCGAAAAATATGGCCAAAATTACGGCAAGAATACATAGATGACCAGATTTATATTATAATGTCGATGCGACTGGACTTTTATTTAAAATGCTTTCTAACAGCAAATTCAAATTTAAAAGAGAAAAATATCCTGGTGGTAAAATTTTTAAGGAACGCTTTACCGTTTTTGTTTCAGAAAGTATGTCTGGTAAAAAAAGAAAACTGATCATAAATATTCATATTTGACCATGGAAAATTTCGTAAGACACAGTGTTTCGAAAATATCGACCAGTAATATACAAATCAAATTCCAAAACTTGGTTGACTGTAAAACGGTCTAAAATTTTATTAAATTGGGATTTACAGTTGAGAAGAAAAAAGAAAATATCTTATTCTTAGTTGACAACTGCCCGGCACATTCCAAAGTTGAATTACTCAATATTAAACTAGTGTTTTTACCCAGTAATTGCACGTCTGTTTTTCAACCAATGGATCAAGGTGTAATAAAATGTATAAAAACTTATTTTCGAAAAACTTTAGTGCTATAAATTATTAATGATATAGAAAGTAAAGTTCAAACCAATATCAGCGTATTAGATAGCATACTCGTATTAATGATTTTTCAAGCTTTGGAAAAAGTATCAGAGAGTGCAACTGTTTTCGTCACGCTGGATTCAATAATGCTATTCATCATCAAGCGTCTCTAAAGGGACAAGAAGATGAAATTAATTTGTCAATGATTTGTCAATTTGATTATTATATTAACTTTGATAATAATGTGCTGATTTCAGTGCCAAGGTGCCCAAGAAATCATTTCTTCTTTGAATAACCAACCCGAAAAACGAGAGGGAGACGACAATAGTGAACATGATACTTCCGAGGAAGATTTATCCATCAGTTCAGTTTTTAATGCAGTAAATATTTCATCGAATTATATGTCTCTGAGTAATGTAAGTTTAAAAAAAAAAAATTAAGAAAGAAATCAAGAAATTGAAAAAAAATACTGCATGATTATACAAAAAAAATTAAAACTAAAAAAACAGATTTGTTTAATACAATGTAAAGTTAATTTTAAAATAATAAAACAACATATTTGATTTCATTTTATTCTGTATGTATTGAAGTCACGATTTAGTGATAAAAATATTACACATTGATTGTAATACAATAGTATGTTCATCTAAATGCATATACATTATACATATACATAATCAAGTTTTTAAATTTTATTATTTTTGTTTTATAATGACAATCGGTTTTTATAACGGATTTTAACTAGTTTTTTGAATGTCATTAAAACAGTTTCTACTGAATTATTTAGGTGAATTTATATAGACACCTGATTTGTGATATAAATCGTTAAGGCGAAAATTTATTATCAGTTTTGTACAATAATTAATTTAATATTATCTAGATAAGACTAAACAAATTTCATCTAGATAAAATAAAGATTATTTTTTAGGTTTTAAAGACTTTCAAAAAATGTAAAACCTGCGGAAGAGTAAAATATTATTATTTTTTCCTTTGTATCACCTATTTGATAATGTATGTAGTATGATTTATATTTTATAAAGTTATCATAACTTATTTATATATTAATCAATAATTAATTATAAACATTTTACTAACATCATCATTCACCACTCATTATATAGTCAGCACCAAATGTATTTATTTAAATAATACTCTATAAATTTATATTTCAAACTAATACATTATAATATAACCTAAATTTAAATGTTTTCATATAAAATGGAAAATTTTAAATTAGTACCTAACTAATAATGTAATAAACAATATTACGTCGACAATATTATTGTAAATCAAACATTGAAAATCAAAATGTAAAGTCAAATTATAATTATTAAATAAATTCGAAGTATTTTGATACCATCTCGAAAATTGAAAAAAAATCGAAAAAAAAATAAAGTAATTTTTGTTTGTTTATACGAATCATGAGCCTTTTTCATAAATAAGTTTTTTATTTTTCTTAGCAACATTTGACTTGACAAATCATCTTCATTTTGTTTCTCGCACCATTCTATACATTTGGTGATCATGACGGGTGACGTATAACTAAAGTTGACGGATGAGAGAGTGTCGGATAATTGAGTTTTTACAGTATATTTGGTTTTGAATTTAATCATTTTCTTTCTTATATTATATTAAATATCATCTTATTCTTATATAGCACCGTTTGTATCTAACAATTAGGCATTAATTATTTATTTTATTTCCTCATCTTACTAATATTTCTAGTATACTTTTTATTAGCTTGATTAAACATTTTTTTTTTTTTTTAAATTATGTATTTACATAATTTAAATTTATTTTTTACATTTCGTAGTATATCATGTATTAATATTTATATCTTCGTTTTTTCGATTTTCCTTTTATAAAAAATTAAAAATTGTGTAATGGAATTTTTTTTACAATAATTTACATTACAATTATGAACAATTATTTCTGGCACGAAGAATAAGAAATATTTGAATTGAACGAGACATTATTCGAAAAATGAGTTTAAAATGTACGCTAAGTTTGAAATTAACTTTTTAATTAAAATAATATTTAAACAAAAAACATTTTTATTTTTAAAATATTTAAAGTACTTATTCTCTTAACAGGCTTTTTTTTTTTTTGATTCTCAGTGTTATATTTTATTTCTACATTACATTTTATTATATTATGTGCTGATGGTTGAAATTGTTTTTAAAAGTGGGAAACGTATTTTTATTTTATTGAGTTAAGTTTCCTTAAAATACTACAGACAATGCAGTCTAAAGTACCTTTTCAGTCAGATTTTCTTAGAGAAAAAGTGCTATTATTGTAAATTAGAGCGAAATTGCTGGTAGAAAAGTTGTTCATAAGAAAAAAGAAGGCCGAAATATTTTTCAACTAATATCTAAATTTTGTACATTTTACCGTTTTTGTCTATTTTTCACAATTTGTCTTATTTATTGGAAAATCTCCTGGGAAAATCGAAAAATTACTTCCATAAAATACCTACCAGTCAAATTTCCGTTCAGAAAAAGTTTATGATTTTAAAATAGAACGAAATTGATGGTAGAAAAGTTGTACACAGGAAAAAAAGGCCATAACATTCTTTTACTTATACCTACATTTCGTAAGATTTCTGGTAAACAAGTTTCGAGAGGTATTTCACAATTAAAATATTCCGAGGGAGCGATGGTTTGGGTCTCTATGTACATCCAAAATATATTTGTTTTTTCCTTGTTTGGGTATAAGGGGAATAATGCAAACAATTTTGTTTTGGACACTGTTCGAACTCAGAACCCCTAGGGTTATAATAGGCATAAATAACCATTAGATCATAATAAATATGCTTAAAGGTTGATATTATTTAGAATTATTTTATATAACATATAATATCAGATATTCAAAAGGTTTAATTTCGAAACTTAATTAGTCTGTTTAATTCTGCCTTCACCATTGTTTTTATTAGAAAATTAGATTTGTTCCACATAATTTTTTCTCTAACGATTTTTGTCAAAATTTGATATTAAAATTCCCGTATAAAAAAAAATATTACATTAAACTCAATTTTTTGTACTACAAAGTAAGATTTCTAATGAACCTCCTGGTAAATTTTGAAGCATTTCTGATCAAGTCTTACAATTTTACCACAGAGTACCTATCGAAGTAAAACCAATACATTCTTCGCTACACTTTGAATCTAAAACATATTACCGTTGTAAACTCCAAAATATATGTGTTTTATTGACCGAATTAAAAAGTTTTATTTTTTTCGTTAGTACCTGCAATCTGCTGTTTTTCTAATGCTTGGTCCAGTATTCGTGTACATCGTGTTAGGTATATACCTACAATATGTATAATATTCAGTATATTTTTTGTGTTTTCCGAATATTTTAAAAATATTTGTTTTCACAAGTATTCAATACCGTATTCTGAGTAGTTTTAAAAATACTTTTTGAAAAACTATTCAATACTGTGTATACTGTGTTTTGAAAATATATTTTATTCCTTGAAAAAATAATTTTAATACAATCATTAATAATAATAATTTTTTTAGTTTCGTTTAAGAGTTTTAACTATATGCTGAACTTTAAGATGAGTATTTTATTTTCTCGGAAAATACTCGGTTTGTAAAATTTTTTACATATCTTAATGATTTGTTTACATATTACTTTAAAATACATAATTTAATATAATTTTAATATAATTAATAATAATTTTCCACCTGGTGTTACTTGATTTCAAAAATTTTTTGAAATTCTTAATAGTTCAAATATAATGTATAATCATGTTACCTATCATCATATAATATCTAAAGTCAGCCGAATTAAACCTTATTTTTTTTAACAAGTATTCGGAATATTTTGAAAAAACTAAGCTGCAAAGCATTCAAATACATATTCTGAATACTATTTTTCGCATGTATTCGAATATTTATTCTGAAAACTTTTAAATGTATTACCCAAGTATAATAGGTACTATGAAGGTACTAGAACGAAAATAAAAGATCGAAGCATGGTTTCTTCATGAAAATTTGGTTACAGATGATATAAAGAGGGAAAAAAAGTACATGTCATAGTAAAACTGATATATTATACATTTCGATAAAACTTTACGCTTAATAAATTGTTAAATAATTGAACTGATTTGGGTGAAGAACGAACGATATTGATATGACCTGAATATTATAATATTAGTTACCTACCTATCCATATTGTATACACCTAAAAATCTATAGCATATAATATACGGAATAATTAATATAAAATTCAATAAACATTGACCTTGTCAATTTTGTTCGATTAAAGAAATCACTCAATAAAAAATAATGTACGCACATAGTGTACAAATTACGCTGGAATTTGGGGTCGATTTTAAAAACTAAATTTTATAGTCAATAATGCTTAGTATTATATCGTACAGAGGTATAATATAACTTTTTGCTTTGGTATTCATAAAATTTACATAAAATATATGATTTCGTGGAGATTCCGTTAAAAAATAGTTTCGTGAAAATGAAAAAGAAACTTTATATTCGAAAAAGCCACGGTAAATAAAAGTGATTATGAAATATTTTTTCCGAAACTTTTAGCAGTTTCTGTGGAGTTTAAATACGTCACGACAGGCAAAACAAAAAAAAGGAATAAAGTTTACCGCATAGCACTATAATATAAACGATTTCGCGATTGTTCTTGTGCACCTCAGATTTTTTTTTTAATTTGTATTTATTCGTGTTCATTCGTATTTATTCGGTTTTTGCGGAATGGTGGTTAACTATGTTGATCGAAATTACTTTATTTTATTGTATTGTGGTTAGTAAGCATACCCACTTTTAATATATTAAAATGTAACTACTAGATGTCGTGACATACTTCTTAAATGTAAAAATATTGATTTCAATTGATTTATCTGAATCAACTATTGATTTACAAAGTTAGTTTATGTAACAAAGATGTAATTTTTATGCGTCTGCTTGTGCTACAAAGGTTTAAATTAAATTGAATACACACATATAGAAAAAAATTCATCGGTAATAAACAAAAATGTAAATACATAAGTATATCTCTATTTTAGACTATTGTTTCCTGCCTTTTATCTACCAATGTAAAGCTCGACTAAAAAACAAATTTTTATTGGAATAAACAATTTAAATGTGTAACGTGTTAGTGTTTTTTAAAAACGGAAAAAATACAAAATAATCTATATGATCGAACAACATAATTAGAAAACATGTTTAGATTTTAAATATAGCGAGAAATATATTGGTTTTATTTGGTGTGTGTTCTTTTATTATTTTTATTTTTATTATTGTGGACAAATTAAGGCTCAATCAAAATGCAACATAAATTTACATGGATTTAATCCTGACAGTTGTAATTGGAGGTGAAAAAACAGTTAATCTTAACGTAATCGTTTTTTTTTTTTTTTAATAAACATTTTAAGTTCATATTTTGATTTTTGTTTATATTTTTGTCCCATTGGTCCAAAGTAATGACGTAATTTTCTAATTCGAGCACTGTCTATACTTACCATCACTACCGCCTCTCTTATGAGAAAATCAATAATCGATTTTGATTGATA